TTTAAAAGGGTAAAAATACACTTTATTTTTTTTACAGGCAACGTACCTGCATTAATTAGCACTTTTTTTTTTCTGTTCATCTGCTAGAAGTTTAGCTTTAATATGTATTAATATGCATGTGGACTCCCAAGAAGTGGGTTAAACAAAGCTAGGAGAATGATTAATAAATCTTCTGCCCAGTTTATAATGGGCGAATGCCGTTCGCACAGCGCTACTGCTGCCAGATGGCCCTGAAGATCATAGGAATTTCCTGTGCTCCTTGGCTCCATCTAGTCGTAGTAGCGTTGTGCGGACAGAAGTCGCCCAGCTATTCTCTGGGCGGAAGATTTATAAATCAGCCCCCTAGGTGCCTTTCATCTCCGGAGGGGACTGGCAGGAGGAGGACGGAGCTAAGAGTTTGCACGGGACGGCACCGGGGAGGTTGAGTATTGCAGAGACAGATGCCTTTTTTTTTATCTCCTGCTGGGCTTCCTTTTTTTTTTTTTTAAACAGCTGTTAGGCTATAAATGAAACATTTGTTTTAACCTTTTAAACCTTTTTACAAAAAAGTTTTTGAAGTTGGTAACGGATGGCTTTGTTTAGAAACAGTCAGATCACACAGCACCAGGGTTTGATGGGGCTTTGTTTACACAGTTATGTCAAGTTGTTTGCCATACGGCAAAGTTGGAGGCCAATTTCGGTGCATGCAGAATTGGTAATTTTTGCTGTGACATCAACAGCTCATCCTTAGTAATGTATTAAAGGAGAACTATGGGGTCAGTGCTTTTCCCCATAGTTCTCCCCAGGGTCACAGGAGGACACAAATTAGCGTCCTCCCGTGACCCAAAGCTCAGTATACTGAGACCGCCGCAGCCGGGACGGATCCCGATGTTCCTATTGAGATCCACCCAGCTGCGTGATTGACAGCCGGCTCTGCCTATCTAGAGGCAGAGCCAGCTGTACCCTCCCCCGTCTGTTCCGCCAGTCAGCGCTGGAGGATCGGACAGGGGAGGGGGGAATCCCTGCAGGGAGCTGTGAGTGATAGTCGATAAGTGAGCGAGCCACGGTATGTGTTCGCTCACCTCCCGATCTATTGAGCGGACCTGTGACAGTTTCATTGTCACAGGTCGGCTAGAACTATGAGGTGAGTGAAAAGCACTCACCTCATAGTTCTCCTTTAAGTAAATTTAGGAAATATTAAAAAAAATGCTTTGGATACCCTTTAATGGTTTTTAATGACCATTTGCTCAGAGCATTGATTGAAAAGGTCTGTGTATGAAAAAGTTTCCAAGGCATGAAACAAAACTTAATTTGTGTACAAACGTATCTTAGGATGCTCAAGAGTTCCTGCGATGTTTGATGGATATACTGCATGAGGAACTTAAGGAGCAAATGGTGGAGGCAGAAGAAGACCCACAGCCTGGGATATTGGAAGAAATGATGGAGGAGGAGAAGAATCAGTCCGACAATGATTTCCAGTCCTGTGAATCTGGGTCCAGCAGTGACCACAATGAACATGAAAGTCGTAAGTTGTCTGAGGAACTCTCAGAATCTGCCATGTTAATCCAAGAGGAGGACCAAGATAATCAGAAATCCCGGCAAAGGGAGAAGAGGTTCTCCAACCACATGAGCCAAAACAACTGCCTCCAGGATCTGGAGAAGAACCTTGAAAGTTTGTCCGAGGACAGCGATTACGGCTCGCAAGGAACAGTGAAAGTTCAGATCCAGAGTCGAATATCAGGTAATAAAATGTACAGGTGAAACTCGAATAATTAGAATATTGTGCAAAAGTAATTGCAGTAAGTGCTGCAAAAAGGGGCCCAAACCAAGTACTGAGTACATATGCATGCTTGTACTTTTCAGAGGTCCGATATTGTTCTATGTACAATCCTTGTTTTATTGATTGCATGTAATAATCTACTTTTTTGAGGTTGTGGATTTGGGGTTCTTGGGGTTTTCATGAGCTGTAAGCCATAATCATCACAATTATGACAAATCACGGCTTGAATTATCTTGCTTTGCATGTAATGAGTCTATCTCATATATTAGTTTCACTTTTTAAGTTGCATTAGTGAAATAAATGAACTTTGCACGATATTCTAATTATTCGAGTTTCACCTGTATTGTGTAGTCTAGATTTATGAACTGATATCTACAGCTTAGTATTCAGAAATTAAATGTTTGTGTCACGTCTTGTAGATTATGCCACAGAAGTCAACATTTGTGAGCTGCCAGCTTCTCAAACGCCCTTGCTAAGCGAAAGCTCGACGACTCGCCTATCCAGCAGCCCACCTAAATCTGGAGCTCTTTGGGGAAATCACAGAAAAGGTATCTGGGAATTTTACACACCAGCCAAATGATTTGTTGAGGTATTGTCCGAAAAATGGTGAGATGTAACCTATAGCAACCAGTCACATTTCACTATTAGAGCAGTCATAGGCGCGGTTACTTATTATTGGTTACTATTATTACCTTTTGATCCTGCCAGTGACTTCCTTTTGCTTTTTATTGGTGGCAATGATCTGCGTCCTCATCTACCACCTGCAGCATTGCAACTGTGTGAGTGTATATTCCAGATCATGAAAGAAAAGCTTTGTCTATGGCTTACCCTGCTCTGATCTGAAAGGCTCGGTCAGTGGATGGGGTTGGCCTGCCCTGCCATAAATTGCAGTGACAGGAGGAGTCACTGTCAATCAACACTTCTACCTGCCCAATCAGGGGTGAAGGCAGCTGAGGGCCTGACCGTTTCGGAAAGTCTGTTTAATTGACCGTGACTCCTATCTTTGCAATTCTTGGAAGGCCAGACAAGCCTCAGGGCAGTTCAGTTTAGAAAAAGAGTATGATTGTCATGTGACCTGTGACAAAATCAATAAATAATGGTAATTAGAAGGATTTATTAATACACTACTTTTCTAATTTGATTTAGAAGTTAAAGGAGAACTATGAGGTGAGTGAAAATCACTCATCCTCATAGTTCGAGCCGACGTGTGACAATGAAACTGTGACACGTCGGCTCAATATATCGTGATGTGAGCGAACACATACCGTCGCTCACTCCCCGATCATCTCCGTGCAGAGAGCCGTGACTGTCAGTCACCGCTCCCTGCAGGGATTTCCACCTCCCCTCTCTGATCCTCCTGCGCCGACTGGAAGAACGGACGGGGAGTGGGCAGGCACAGCTGGCTCTGCCTCTAGATAGGCAGAGCAAGCTGTCACTCACGCAGCTGGGTGGATCGCGCAGTAATGTCGGGATCCGTCCCGGCTGCAGCAGTCTCAGTATACCGCTTGCTGTAGCTCGCAATATACTGAGCTTTGTGTCACGGGAAGACGCTAGTATATGTCCTCCCGTGACCCTTAAGAGAACTATGGGGAAAACCACTTACCAGGTAGTTCTCTTTTAATATCCAACCTTGTTCTGAAAACTGTTTTGATGCCGGGGTAAGTGGTCAAGTGCGGGGGATACAATTCTGACCAGTTACACTCTTCACACAGGTTGTCAGCTCTGGGTACCTCGCACAGGGAACTACCAGTGTTGGGCTTTTCGGCGGTAAAAACAAATGTATCTGCAATGCTCTTCCTAGAAGGCAGGGTTCTAGGAAAGTGACCCCTTGTCCATCGCAGAGTTATTTCTGTGTGTCTGAAAAGTAAATGACTGTTCCATAAATATAAGTACTGCATATGCTGTTTCTTCTTCTCTAGTTTCTACTGTCTGTCTCCCTAAGAAGAAAAGGCAGAAGAAGTACCGCAGTGTCATATCTGATGTGTTTGACGGCACCATTGTGAGCTCAGTACAGTGTCTGACATGTGACAGAGTAAGTTCCGGAGATGTTTGTGATTTGATTGACTTTCATTACAACGGACAATGTGCATTTCTCATTGATAAAGGTACACACGCATACAAAACTATGAATCTGAGATCAGCTTTGTAATCCAGATGGAAAACATTTATATTTGATTTGAAAAGGAAGGATTTTTTGTATTCACCTGAATATTCACACTCGTTCAGTCTGTTGGTAATCACACAATTAGTGAATCATGATTAGATTAGAGAAAATTGTCAGTCTCATAATTGTCCTGATCTCCATAATCTTCAGGATCTTTTTCTTGAGGCAAAGCTGCTTCATTTTTTTTCTTTGACAATCTCTCCTTGGCACATCAGCATTGTCTGTTCATTGTTATTTATAAATAAAAAATCCATTCATCTAAAAGACGCAACAAAACCACCATAAAATTAGGAATTGCAGTCTTCTGAATAGTGCACTATTCCACATTTCAAAGAATCAAATGAAGACAAAAATACAGCATCATAACAGAAGTGATCAGTCCGTTACATAGGCTGCAGTGAACCAAGAACTAGCATACCATGCAAAATGAAAGAGAAACACCCCCCCACCCCCACTGCTGCCACTCGTCCCAGAGAGATATCAAGGTGTGCCAAGATCAAATAATTCTACGTGGGGGATTTAGGAGAACAGGGGGACAGGCATGACAGCAAGAGAAGGGCAGGCGAAGAATAGGGACAGAAGGGAAGAGGAAGGGAACAGTGAGGACAAGAAGAAATAGATAGTCAGCGTTGCGAGGGAGAAAGGTAAGAATAAAGATGTAGAGTAGGAGGAGGACAAAAGAATGCTCAGCTCACAGCTCCCCAGGTAGCCAAGGTCAGAAGCAAAGAATGTGGATGGAGGGGACCACTCTGGACCTTCATGTAGAGTTACCACCTGTCCGGGATTCATCCGGACAGTCCGGATTTTCAGGCCAGGTGAAATCGGGACACAAGTTGTCATGATGTCAGGCAGACATGGGTAACCATGGGGTCCTGGTGTTCCTACTCGTATGCAGCCACGCTTCGTGCACAGTATGGGTGTAGACCTCCGCTGTGACAGTACGTACATTTTCAATCTTTCTCTCTCTTTCTCCATCTTACACGTACACTACAATCTACTGCATGTACAGTAAAAGTTATACTCACAGAGCCAGGATTATGGAGGGTGCAGGAGGAACTCCTGCATGCGCTATCCCCTGGCTGTGTCTCCTCTCGCTCCGCTCTCCTGGCGGTGTCTCCTCTCGCTCCGCTCTCCTGGCGGTGTCTCCTCTCTCTCCGCTCTCCTGGCTGTGTCTCCTCTCTCTCCGCTCTCCTGGCTGTGTCTCCTCTCTCTCCGCTCTCCTGGCTGTGTCTCCTCTGGCTCTGCTCTCCTGGCTGTGTCTCCTCTCTCTCCGCTCTCCTGGCTGTGTCTCCTCTGGCTCCGCTCTCCTGGCTGTGTCTCCTCTGGCTCTGATCTCCTGGCTGTGTCTCCTCTGGCTCCGCTCTCCTGGCTGTGTCTCCTCTGGCTCCGCTCTCCTGGCTGTGTCTCCTCTGGCTCCGCTCTCCTGGCTGTGTCTCCTCTGGCTCCGCTCTCCTGGCTGTATCTCCTCTCGCTCTGCTCTCCTGGCTGTATCTCCTCTCGCTCCGCTCTCCTGGCTGTGTCTCCTCTCGCTCCGCTCTCCTGGCGGTATGTCTCCATACTCTCTCCTGTGTATTCTCCAAAACAAAAATGCTACACAGCACTAGAGTGTTCGGGTTTCACTTGAAGGTGGTCTGCAGTGAGGAGGTCACATCCTCCATCTGACAAATCTCATTGACCTTGGAGAACCAGTCTGTTTATTGTTAACCAGTCTTACAAACAAAGCAGCTTAGTAATTGTCTGATCCAGTATATAGGTAAATGTTCTAGGCGTTGTAGCAGATTGTGTGTTTGGGAATGATTGCATTTGTAATTTTTTTTTATCTGCTCTTAATCAGATCTCAGTAACTCTGGAAGCATTTCAAGACTTGTCACTGCCAATACCAGGGAAGGAAGATTTAGCAAAGCTGCACTCGTCGAGCCACCAGACCTCCCTGGTTAAGGCTGGATCGTGTGGAGAGGCCTATGCTCCTCAAGGATGGATTTCATTTTTCCTAGAATATCTTAAAAGGTAGAGATTGTAACCTATGTCTACAACAGACCACTACAGTCATTAAAGTGCAAATAATAGGCTGCAAAGAAGGAAGGTGAGCAGTAAGCCTAATTCCAAAACTGTGCTCCAGACAAGCATCTGAATCAGGGGTAGCCAAACTCAGGCCCTCTAGCTGTGGTGGAACTACAAATCACATGAGGCATTGCATGATTCTCACAGGCATGACTCCTGGAGAGAGATGCATCATGGGTTTTGTAGTTTCACCACAGTTTGGCAACCCCTGATCTAAATATACAGGATACATACATACTGTATACGAAAGGTTAAAAGTTCTGTATTCCTATTCCTCTATTTCTGAGATTTACACAGCTCTCTAGAACTCCTCTCTCTGTCACACTTCTCTCTTCTATCAATGTGCTCCACTTAAGTGGCTGATTTTGATGCTTCATCCCTCCTTACCTCTGAGCTCTGCTGTATAGACTTTAGAGGCAGCACAAGATGCCAGTCAGTTGTGCTGTAGAGCTGATGCAGTGACTAGGAACATGCTGATAGGAGTAGAAAGAATGAGAGAGAGATGAGCTCATCAGACTGCTGCTTCTCTTTTCACTGCCCAGTTACAGGCTGTGGGCGGGAAAAGACCTGTAACAGTTACTTAACTGCAACAAAGAAACGTCGGGTCTCTTGTACTACAAAGAGACCCGACTCTTGTACTGTCAGACGGGACTGTGTTGTGCGGTGGGGCTGTGTGAATCTCAGGATTGGATGAAGAGAAGTACAAATCCTTTGACAGGTAAAACGGCTATCATATATGCAGTTTGCCTGGAGCTATGCTTTCCATATAGTTTTAAATTAGAATTATTTGTGGTCATAGTCCTGCATTCTCCTCAGCATGTTCTGTACACTACAAATACAAGATGTGGCCCCTCTATATGGAAAAGACTGATGTAAGTTAGGAGCATGCTATTAGTGTAGGATGTTGGGGTGGGGAATGTTCAGCTCTGACTCAAATTTGAAGGCTGCTATTTGGAAACTTGGTATACCTGGTGACCATTTCTAAGCCTTTCGTAGAGCTGGTGTTGCTGTATGTCTTTATTGACAGGAACTTTGAGAGTAATCGCCCTTCTTTGCATACTTTTTCTAGCTGGTTTTGGGGCCCCACAGTCACCCTACAGGATTGTCTGGCAGCCTTCTTTACCAGGGACGAACTTAAAGGTAAGCTATAGCAGTGGAACGCATAATTGTATTTGGCTCATATTATTACGTTTAGCACACAACCATAGCTGCCAGAATCTAACTTGTTTTTTTTTATTCTGCAGGTGACAATATGTACAGCTGTGAAAAATGCAAAAAGTAAGTGTGAAAAAGATAATTATTTTTTTATCGTTTAATGTGAAAGTGTTGTTAATGTGATCACTTTCCAGCCTTATTTATAGAAAGAAAAAGAATGATTGTGGTTCCCATAGCAAACATTCACTGTCACTGCTGCGTTCCCTGACTTACTGTCAGTACAAGTTAGAATACCCTCTTTCTGTGTCCAGAACACCTACAGAGGGCAAATAAGCTGGCCTATGATGTCAAGTGTAGGACATTACACCTGCTTGAAATTTCTTTCTTTAGCTAGTTTGCTGATATCGGGGGAGGAATGTTTCTGAGGCTGCACAGTATCTTAAAGGACAACTTCATCTTTAGAGAAGTCGTCCTATACTACAGACCCCAACCACCTTGAGTGCAGGCACCCAGTGATCTAACAGCCAACATGGACGTGAAGTGTTCAATAAATTCTATGGGTAGCTGTACTCATGACAGACCCCCCCCAGTGGTCGCTTAAAATAAGACTCACTCATAGGTTTGAATGGGCCACAGCACGCTTGCTCAGGCTGAAGTGGAGCTAGCCAGATACATGCCTGCAGTAAGATCACTGGATCACGGCTGAAGGAAAGTATAAAATATCCACTCGGGGGATAGGGAGGCTGTAGTATAGGACAACTTCACAGAAGCTCCAGTTGTCCTTTAAAGTTTTGTAGTAGGGGTCGACCGATTATCATATTATCAGATTTATTATTATGACCGATATTCACAATTTTTTAAATCGTTATCGGTCTTAAATTTACCGATATTCCTGATAAGTGCCAACAGTGAAGGGGAGTCTTCCCCTGCAGGCACCCTGCTGCTGCAGCAGCAACCAGTGCCTCCAGTGTGCCCCCCCACAACCAGAACCTCCAGTGTCCCCCCACACATCCAATGCCTCAAATATGCCCCCCTACCCTACCTTAAAGTGGCTCCAGTGTGCCCCCACATCCAGTGCCTCTATTATGCCCCCACATCCCATACCTCTAGTGTGCTCCAATAGCCCCATTCATCTGCCAGTGGCTAGATTCCGCAGCTGAATGTAAATGGCAGGCAGTGGACGGGAGCAATAGCCGGCCTACTATTGGCTATAGCAAATTGCAATAGCAGGCTGGCTATTGCACCCGCCTACTGCCTGCTGTCAATCAGCAGGGGAGCGGACCTGAGAGAGCTCCTCTGCTGATTGACAGCAGGCAGTGGGCAAGTGCAGTAGCAAGATTTCACGGCCGGATGTAAACAGAATACCGGCACCTGTCATCAGTTATTGGCCTAAAAGGTGGCCCATAATCGGTATCGGTTCTGGAAAAATGATATCGGTTGACCCCTAGTTTGTGGTAGGGAAAGGGAAACGTTCTTGGGTGGATGTGGGAAGTCTGTAAGACAGTTGATGCAGAAAGAAAGCAGCTGAGATTCAACCCAGCTAGTTCTGTGAACATAAGGTTGCTCTGAAAATAGTTTTCTTGAACAATAATGTATTCGAACATTTTATAACTTGCAATAAACAAATTCATGTGTGAAGACAATTTATCGATACTTTGGTAGATTCCTCCAGATTCAAACAAAGGTCGACATCACAATATAATGCAAATAATGGAAGTTTGTAGAACCAAAACGACTATTCATTGCTATATCTGCAGCCATTTGCTTTTTGAATGCCCTGGCTTACGAATGCTGCTTTGATTTCTTTTTTTGTAGGTTAAGAAATGGTGTCAAGTTTTGCAAAGTGCAGAAATTTCCTGAGGTGGGCTCTCCTCTTTGTTAAACCTTTAGTAAAATATTGATAAATGAACTAACATTGGGGCTCAGCAGGTGATGTCTATAGACAGACCTCGCCAGCTGTCAGACACGGACGGCTCCTACCATGCTTTCCTGACAAGGCATGCTCGGAGAAGAAGGATGTCACTGTAAGAATAATCATTCATATGCTAAAATGACGGCGATGCATTGTTAGATTGGTCCAGTAGCAGCCATTAAAGTGTGTGTGCAGTTTTAATGATTTTGACCCCACTTCCTGCACCTTCCTCAATACTAGTACACTCAAATGCTGGTTTTCCTGGGGCTGGATGATGCTGCGGCTTCAGCTTTTTCACCACTGTGCTGCAGGCCCTGTACTTTAAACTTCATACTAATACCTGCTTATTGCATGTGTGCGGTTCAGTGCAAGCACTGTTTCTTTTTATAGAAGCACAGAAAATACAGTGCAGTTTGGAATATTGATTTTGGAATACAGTGGGGAAAAAAAGTTGGAGCAATGGCCTTTAAACCATAGCGTGGCCCTTGACATGCTAGGCAGTGAGAAGATTAGTACTGAAGCAAATTACACTAACTTTTTTGATCCCAGTCCACAGATCTCACCCCTTAACGAACTGCTCAGTGTGGGCCTGTATTTAGGGGGGTTTGACATTAGTGGGGCCATAGGTGAAGAGCATTTGAGTAATGCACGTGGTTCCTATTATGGTGGATGTCCAGTAGACATCAACAGTGATGAACTGTGAAGTTTGGCTGACTTACAAGTATCAGACACTGAACACTTGATTTTTCCTAAATAATATTAAGTAGGACTTGTCAAGTGAATAAAAACTAAAGAGAAACACCAATCATATTGGTTTTCTCCTTTTCTAGGTCTAGAGGTGCAAGGCTTAACCTCTCACTAAATCGTAACTGCTGCCTGGGACTCCAAATTTCTTTCCAAGGCTAGCAGGCTAAACTTGGCTTTTAAGATAAAGTACTGTTGCCCCCCAGTATTAGGTTATATATGTGCAGGGGGGCACCCTAGTTGTGGTTTGGGAATTTTATTACCCCACTAAAAAATCTACTAGATGGGTTATAACAAAAGATGTGCTGCAGTCTCTAATGGTATTCGGTAGGGATGCACAGATACTAGTATCGCTATCGGTGCCAATACTGAGTATTTGGGCGAGCAGTCGTACTCGCCCAAATGGTCGGATACTTACCTCTGATACCGGATACTCCCTCCCTCTGACCAGCAGTGCCGAGGGATAATGGAGCCGACTTTCTTTCCAATCAGGAAGCCGGGCAGTGGGTTATGACCGGCCTCCCGGCTTCCTGATTGGCTAGGAAACTGGCTTCACTTGTTGCTAGACAGCTTGGCTTCCTAACCAATCAAGAAGCCAGGCAGCATGTAATGACCCGGCTTCCTAATTGGTCAGAAAGCCAGGCTGCCTAGGAACAAGTGAAGCCAGTTTCCTAGCCAATCAGTAAGCCTGCAGGCAGGTCATGACATGCTGCCTAGCTTCCTGATTGGCTAGGAAGCCAGCTTCACTTGTTGCTAGGCTGCCTGGCTTCCTGACCAGTCAGGAGGCTGAGATGTGGGAATCCCCCTGGATTGCAATAATTCCTGATAAGCAATCAAACCTTTTCAACCCACAATGAGTAATTTGGGATAGAGTTGCTCTTCAGAACCTATATTAGTAAGTTTGATTTTTGAATTTTTTTTCAATGCATGTTAATATTATGGTAATTAATGTTTCGTCTTTTTTTTTCTTCTTGCAGATATTGAGTATACACCTGAAACGCTTTAGGCATGAGCTTATGTTTTCCACCAAAATCGGTACTCATGTATCATTCCCCCTGGAGGGTTTGGACCTGCAGTCTTTTCTTGCCAAGGAAAGCCCAAGCCAGATTGTCACCTATGACCTTTTGTCTGTAATCTGTCATCACGGCACTGCGAGCAGTGAGTACTTGCAGAAAGGATTGGATGTCTCCTGTTGTCTTATGGTGTTCACTGTCCTCTTACAACCTTTTTGTATATCATTGTCCAGGTGGCCACTATATTGCCTACTGCCGCAACAACCTGAATAACCTCTGGTATGAATTTGATGATCAGAGCGTCACCGAAGTGTCTGAAAGTACAGTGCAGAATGCTGAGGCCTATGTGCTTTTCTACAGGTAAGTCTATTTTCGTCAAGCGGTTCCCTTGTAGGTGAAATATATCGCTACATAAGGAACCCTCGTTTTTTGGGAATTGTGGTAGAACTAATGACCTGTGTTTCACAAAAAAGTTATCTTTGGATATTTGTATATTTGCTAGATCTCTCTGGGCTTCCCCAACAAGAGGAGCAAATGCAGAGCTCCCATATCCTCAGACCCTCCATTTCTGAATGGATGGATCTAGGGATTGGCTGCATCTTCTTATATGAAGCTTTTCAGTTTTCCTGGGTCGTCTGTCATCTAGCACGAGCAAATTCAAATCAAGTTTGCTTGGATTTTTATTTTTTTTATTTTTAACATCTCCACTGAGCGTCTTATGTATTTAATTTTTTTTGACGGTATGGAATTCCCCGGCATTTAAACCATTAGGCCTCATTTACACGAGATAAAGCCGGCACACACAGCTCCGTGCTGCGTGCACGGTCGTATCGGGAAGCTCCCAGGAAGGACAGGTGCTGCGTGTGATAAGTACGCAGCCCCTGTCGTCCTTTATGGGAGTACACCGCCCTACGCTCACCCCAAGTGTAGGTCCGTATGGGTGCTGGTGTCCCGGCTCGGACGCAGACAGGATCCATCCTGTCAGCGTTCGATGATGGACACCCGCATGGACCTGAGCATAGGGCGGCGTACGGCTGCATAGTCCCATAAAGGACGGGCTGCGTACTAATCACACGCAGCAGCTGCCCGATACTGCCATGCACGGAGTTGTACCTACCGGCTTTTTCTCGTGTGAATGAGGCCTTATTGGTAATCCATTATGGTGATTGGATTACACATACGGGTTTAAATGCTGCGGGGAGACTTGTATTGCTAGCATTTTCTATCTATTTAATTATTGACGTTAGTCATACATGTTTAGTTTAATTTTTTTATATTTCTATATGACGTCGGATAGCTTATCACATGCAGAGAGTGTTCCAGCAGGGGGATAAGTCTTTAAAGCTGGGCCCTAGTCTCCACATTATCATTTTATAAAACGATCAGTTTTTTCTTCAAGCTAATCTCCAGGCAAATATAAAAGACAGAAGTTAACGCAGCCCTGGGTTCATTAATACGTTATTACATGTATTTTCTTTAAATGCAAGCAGTGCAAGTATCTCAATTAGGCTTGGTTTTCACTTCTTGCAATCCCTGTAAAGCAGAGCTCAGACTGGGAAAGAAGAAGCTGCACAAGGAACCCATCAATTGTCCTGCAGGGCTTATCTGCAAAAAAAAAGGGACGTGCTGATTCTTGCAGAGTGACAGAGAGATGAGCCTTGAGTCTGCTGCTTCTCCTTTCACGGTCCTGCTACAGGCTGGGGAAGAGACAAGACCTGTAAGTGTTACTTAACTGCAGCAGAGATAAAGCATCTTCCCTTGTCAAACAGGGCTGTGTAAATCTCAGGACTGGATGAACAGCAATACAAATCCTTTAGCAGGTAGAACATATCCGTTTTTTCTATGTATTTTATATTTGTGTTGAGTTGTTAGCCTGGAGTTAAGCGTTAATACTGACATATCTGACCTCTATTCTTTGGGAAAAGACATTGCTTGGTTTGTTTGAGTCCCTGTTAGATACACACGTACCCCGCAATTCTAATTTTTGGCATCTCCGAAATGCCGCACTTTGGAGTTTTGAATTTGGGTGGCATACGAAGTCAACAATTCTCTGCTTGCTGTATCAGTATCCTCACTATTGCTTTCTTTTTGTATATCCGCAGAAAATCAAGTGAAGATGCCCAAAAGGAGAGGAGAAGGGTGACCAGCCTACTAAACCTCACCGAGCCCAGTCTGCTGCAGTTCTACATCTCACGCCAGTGGCTTAATAAATTTAAGACATTTGCTGAGCCAGGCCCCATATCCAATAACGATTTCCTGTGTGTGCACGGGGGTAGGTTATGGCTACAGGAATGTGTTTTAGTGTGTAGCACCCTTAGCTTTGGTATCAGTATTTGTTTCATTGTGCACCAGGGACACTAATTTGTATGGTCTCCTTGTGTTTGTGCATGTCTGACGCTGTTATCTAAATGCATTGTTGTAGTTTGTTTGGTGTTTGATAGATACCCTGTTTCCCCCGAAAATAAGACCTACCCCGAAATTAAGACCTAGTACCATTTTTGGGAATTGCTAAAATATAAGACCTACCCCGAAAATAAGACCTAGTTGTGACCATTCCCAGGGCATAAGGGCAAACCTGAAGAGCCGCGAGAGAGAATCAGCGGTGACAACGAAGCCAGCGCTAGAGGAAGCGAGGCGGCAGCCCAGGGAGCAGAGCCGCATAAGCCGATGTTTCCTCTATAGTGCCGGCTCGTGTCACAGGCGGAGTGATACCAAATGCACTCCGCCTATGAGGAATCTATAGTAAACGTGCTCTTAGCTCATTCTGGTTACCAAATTGCTCTTGGAAAGGTACGGCACCCATGATTGCCCTGATCACCATATTCTTAACTTTGCCATTTTGGATTATTTAATTAGGATTTGCATTAACTTTGGATTGTTGTACATTAAAGAAACAAAATAAGACCAACCCCGAAAATAAGACCTAGTGTGTTTTTTTGAGCCCCAACAGTGACCGTGTCTTATTTTCTGGGGAAACACGGTAGGGCTTGGAGTAAAGTAGGCTATATACGCAGCAAATTCTGGCCATTTCTTGATGAACCGGCCCAATGCGCTGCATGGGTGCCGCTGTCAGCACCCTTCCGCTCAGCATCCTACGATCAGCTTATGGAAGGAGCAGGTTGGAAAATTCTTGGCTGAATGGAGCTGGCTGCCAAATCAGCTGCAGGCTTCGTTCCAGTATTCTGGCATTCAGAATACAGTAGAAATAGCACGGGATTTCTTGATTAGCACTCATGAGCGTTGATGGAGGACATTTTTTTATTCTTTTTCATTCAGCCCGCAGGTTGAACAAAAAAAAAATAGAACCGTGTATACCTAGCTTTAGGAAATATGAAACAAATATACCAGATGAATTATAAAAAGCTAATTCAACCATGTGAAGTTGATTTACATTATGCTCTTATATCAGTGATACATGACATTATACTGGATCTTTAACACTTGATTTTTTTTTGGTTACTTCCTAGGTGTGCCACCACGTAAGGCTGGGCTGATAGAGGACCTTGTGGTGATGCTGCCTCAGAATATATGGGACCATTTATATAGCAGGTTAGTGCTATGTTTATTACTCAGATGCTGAAAAGCAGTGTTCATTTTGAAAGCAAATTTCGATTTATTTTTAGTCTTTTGACTAAAATGGCATTTAGTTTTAGTCATATTTTAGTCTAAATTGTATTAGTCAACCAAATATCATACGATTTTTAGTCTGCTGAATCTACAGTAGATCTACTCTGCTAAAATCTAGTGGGTTTAGCTAAAGAGTCATTTAAGAATTTCTCTAGAATTTCCAATCTCATTATATACTCCTGGAGTAAACATCTGTTAACCTGTTATTACTTATGGTATTAAGGTTTGAACATGGCAATAGAGACACAGATTTAACTGTTGTGATGTATACCATTTCTTTATTTATCTTAAAATTAGAATTAACCAAGTCTTATAAAGAAACAATAATATTGAGTATTTCCAACAGAGGACCAGTAATTAGACATACATTGCTTATAACAACTTGCATGTGACATTCTTCATTCTTTCAAGCAGAAGTGCAACTCTAAAATATAAAAATGAAAAACTATCTATTAAAAAAAGAAATAATAATAAATAAATCAATCAATATTGGCTGTAATGCCATTGCACATATTAACTATTAGCCGTCCATTCAGGATTGAACTGGAAGCCCAAAGAGATTAGTTCTGATTGGTTCTCTTCCCAAATCGTCTCTCCCTAACATTTCAGTCTAGTTGGTTGACTAAAATGTCAATATGTTTCCATTATAGTTTTAGTCATCATAACTTTTATCATAACGGAATGACTCACCCGAGAGCTGGGTCATTCCGTTATAGTTTTAGTCACTGAAAAAGTGCACATCCCTAATATGCGCTATACCTCGCTACAAGCCCGTTGATTGAGGAATCCCCACTGTCAGAATACCCGTAGAGAGCCGGCCTCGGTTTGTATAAAGATTTTCTGACTGACTCCTATCAGCTGATCGAGGGATGCCGGCTGAAAGGGTGCCGACAGTGCTTATTTCTGAACCGGTCGAAATTTGCACAGTGCACGGCCACCTTGAGCAAGGATATGTGCAGGAACAATGAGCATGCCATGATACATATAAAGACTGCTGCCTTATTTTAGGAGGGGTAAGGTTGACATTAAGCAATGCAGAGTGCTACCATGATGTTAAAAGCACAGTAACTCAAACACATTACTGCTGATTTTTGCACCGCCTTATTAAATAAGCACGCCTGCACTTTTGTACATAATAGGCAGTTATTGTTAAGGCTACCCGTCGTTCCCTCTTTCTTCCGGATGCTGTGAATGAATTGTTCTCAGACAGATGAAATATGATTACACCGAGTAAAGTTCCCAAGGCTCTCACTCTTCTCAGATTACACACAAGAGACGCTTGCAGGTGGCACATTCAAAGCATTAAGAGCCATTAAGAACCGTTTCATGTATTTTCATGTCTCCGTCATTATCTCTGATTGCACTAATACACAACTATATAATAAAGGATAAGTGTACATTTGTTGAAAAGGGCAAGAGTGCTGCAGGGAACCAGTATGCTGGCAGCCCATAAATTGAATGAAATGTTTTCAATCTTCAAGGCTCCTTGTAGCTTTGGTTGGGATGAGCAGCATAATCTAGAGGAAGGGTGTGGGCTGGGTCTGTGTCAGACAGAAGAAATGACCAAACACGTGCACCCCTTTCTTTCCTCTGGAGCAGGTTGGTCTTCCTTATTGACACTGTACAGAGCTCCAGACTATGTAAATAGCAGGGCTCAAAATTTCAAGTCCTGAGCGACTAGCCAGGCCTTAAGAGTCACTAGCCACCAGTTGCCCACCTAACCCTTAAGGGCGTGACACACTGCACGCGAAGCCGCGCAGAGCGAAGAAAAGCTATCCGGCACGGAGCTTTGCGTGCAGTGTGTGAGCTGAATGCAGTCAGATGATTCGTGTGCAGTGTGTCACGGCCTTAACCCTGCCTCGGCCTTAACTCCGCCCCTAAACACACCCTCTTAAATAATCTTATGATAATTCTTATCTTATGATAGTTGCCGCTTGTAAACGGCAGGTTAGGGATTCCTGCTGCAGGAAAACGCAAGTTCCTGACACAGGAATCTCTAATCACACCTGAAATATACTGTAGGTGTGAATGGGGCCTAATATACACATACACTAAAGGTGCCCATACACCTGCCGATTATCGTACGATAATCGTGGGTGATCTCGCAATCATACGATAATCGGCAGGTGTATGGGCAGCGTGTGACTGCCCCCACACAAAATTATAATACAATTAACCCTTTCTTCCCCCCCCAGCCCCCTCACCTGTTCACATCTTTGCAGATAGGAGGCTGAGCAGGATCGATCCCTGGTTTATCTTTGAGTGATTAGTGAGGTCTGCAGCAGACCTCACTATCACCCCCAGATAGCCAGGCATCGATGCTGCTCACATACATTCTTTCTTTCAGCCGGAGCTCAGAACTGTCAGAGCTCCAGCCGAAGGAAGCCAAAGCTGACAGGAGCTGCCCTGTGGTCTGCATCCGACACAGGTGCAGACCGTGGAGCTGCTCCTGCAAGTCAGGTACGCGGTCTGCGACCGTGTGCCTGACATGTCAGCTGGCTGTGGGCCACATAGTACCGGCTCACGGGTCGTGGTTGGTCCGCAGACCGGTACTTGGAGACCCAAATTTCCACTCGCCAAATGCGAGCAGGCGAGTGGAAATTTTGAGCCCTGTAAATAGGACTCTAGTCTTCTACAGATTGGAGTTGGATTCCCTGCTAACAAAAGGAACCGAGTCTTCTGTCTACTGCAAAGCTGCATTTTTACATCAAAGCATACTTACCATTTCGGTGTGCTTTTATTCTGGTTGGACCCGGCAAATTTTTTATTGTAATTTATTTTTAGCATTGTGGTGTTCTAACAAAAGATTTATTTTACAAAATTTTTCTTAGAGTTTTGAAGAGCAGACGATAATGGACAGTTCTAATTAAAGATTTTATCTAAGTATATGTCATTGTGGTTGTAGGTTTGGTGGTGGGCCCGCTGTCAATCATCTTTGTGTATGCCACACCTGCCAGATCGAACAGGACAAAACTGAAAAGAGGAGGAAGATGGAACTGGAAACATTCATTCGGGTAAATAGAATCTCGCACGGCCTGCTTGTGTTTCCCCCTCCCTATTTCTGTATGGTAACTGGAACAAAGGGATCTGCCCATAGCAATCAGGTTCCTTGTTTTACTTTCAAGTGAATGGAGGGTGAATCCTTATTAGTGACAATCTCAGCTCTTTCCCTTTTACATAGTCACACACTTTCTCTCTCTCCCCCTCTCTCTCTCTCTCCCCCTCTCTCTCTCTCTCCCCCTCTCTCTCTCTCTCCCCCTCTCTCTCTCTCTCCCCCTCTCTCTCTCTCTCCCCCTCTCTCTCTCTCTCCCCCTCTCTCTCTCTCTCCCCCTCTCTCTCTCTCTCCCCCTCTCTCTCTCTCTCCCCCTCTCTCTCTCTCTCCCCCTCTCTCTCTCTCTCCCCCTCTCTCTCTCTCTCCCCCTCTCTCTCTCTCTCCCCCTCTCTCTCTCTCTCCCCCTCTCTCTCTCTCTCCCCCTCTCTCTCTCTCTCCCCCTCTCTCTCTCTCTCCCCCTCTCTCTCTCTCTCCCCCTCTCTCTCTCTCTCCCCCTCTCTCTCTCTCTCCCCCTCTCTCTCTCTCTCCCCCTCTCTCTCTCTCTCCCCCTCTCTCTCTCTCTCCCCCTCTCTCTCTCTCTCCCCCTCTCTCTCTCTCTCCCCCTCTCTCTCTCTCTCCCCCTCTCTCTCTCTCTCCCCCTCTCTCTCTCTCTCCCCCTCTCTCTCTCTCTCCCCCTCTCTCTCTCTCTCCCCCTCTCTCTCTCTCTCCCCCTCTCTCTCTCTCTCCCCCTCTCTCTCTCTCTCCCCCTCTCTCTCTCTCTCCCCCTCTCTCTCTCTCTCCCCCTCTCTCTCTCTCTCCCCCTCTCTCTCTCTCTCCCCCTCTCTCTCTCTCTCCCCCTCTCTCTCTCTCTCCCCCTCTCTCTCTCTCTCCCCCTCTCTCTCTCCCCCCCTCTCTCCCCTTCTCTCTCTCTCTCTCTCTCTCACACACACACTCACTCTCTCTCACTCTGTCTTTCGTTCCTCCTCACTCGCTAACCCTTTTTTCTCTCTGTCTTCCTTCCATTGTGTTCCACTTTATAGAAACTCAGTCATGGGTTGAGGGTGGGGGGAATGAATGGGACTGCTGTTGGCATGAAGTGTCGAAGCATGGCCACATTGTACTACCTCCTGTATATTCCCATTGGCCACTTAGGCTGGCCATATTAATGGGCTAAAAGGAATCTGTGATGGTGGGGGAACCTAGAAGCAAGCTCCAATATTACCGGTAGGAGTCAGAGCTTTCCTGGTCAGAAGGGCCCAAGATTTGAGTGTGATGGGAAGCTTCTGCAGAGTCTAAATCTCTCTCTAGTTCCCTCTCAACCTTCATTTGAGGAAATCGGGACTCTGTAGGCAGCCCAAACCTCAGTGAGTGATTTATTTGTGGATTTGAGCTGTAAAACTGTATATCCACCATGTACTTTTATTCTGAATAATTACTATTTACTAAGCTTATGATCATGTTTTTCCACTGTGGATCGGTATGGTAATCCTCTAAGAGCGAGTCTCTTTGTCTCCTCAGCTGAACAAGGCTTTTCAAGAAGAGGACTCCCTGGCTGTTATCTACTGTATCAGCATGCAATGGTTCCGGGAGTGGGAAGGCTTTGTGAAGGGCAAGGACGTTGGTATGTAAGCCCTTTTGTTGGTCATTTTTAAGGGTCAGTGAGACCACCCAGACACTGATTTATAAGTCTGTAGTAGATGCTGGGGGGGGTTAAATCCCTCTCTGGCTTCTTCGGTCATATACCCTGTTGTGGAGATCTCTCCACCTGATAGATCCCTTACAGTATCCCTTTCCCTTTCTGATTTTAATTTGCATTACAAAGACTTTATCAGGAGAGATAAGACGCTACGCAAACTGTTGGCGCTATATAAATCTTGTATTATAATAATAATAAGACTCCTTGGTGGGATGAGCAGAGCCAGAAACACCGGTTGGGAAATTTCTCCCAACTCAAAATACGGAACAGTCCAGATGTTGATTCTGCCCACTAGCAGAGCAACCTAATCACCAAATTGACTTACTACTGTGGTTTAAATAGCTTAAATAGTAGGATATCATTTTACACAAAGCTGCACGAGTCAGAGGAGGTACCTCTTTCACTCTTCCAGCAGAGATTGGACCATCTAGAATTTCAATGTGTAGAAGCGGTTAACAAGTACGAGTTAGTGTCTACCTTTCCTATTAGAAATCTCAGCATCTCATACCCACACCAGCACCTTGTGTTAGAGAGTCTCTGTGATTAAAGTTACCTTTACTGCTGCTTCCCTGCCAGTAAAACTGGTACTGCTGGATACAGAGGAGTACAAAGCTGCGGTTGAGGCTTAAACAAGCAAACATTGAGCTCAAACATTGTCACGTGGGGCCAGGAGGTATGCAATAGTATGTTCCATTATCAATAATACTGGCTATAATCAGTAATCTTTAGAGGTGGCAGTAGGGACCAAAAGTACGGCAGGAAGGAGAGCTAAAGCCAAGTATGGGTATAGAAGAGTCGGGGAGGGGGCTTGAAATGTTTTTTTGGACAGGTTTTAAAGTAGATGTAAACCAAATTGCTAACATCTCATTTAGTGTTTTCAAAATTAATGTCAATGTTCCGAAATGTGTACCTTTGTTAAACTAATACTTGATGATCCTATGAAAGTACTTGCTTGAGCACATCCTTTTATAGGGTGATGACACCTTGTGCCTGTCGCCCAGTTATTCTCCTGCAGTTTACCCTGTCACATGCTCTGCCAGTGGAGTCTACTTGGGCGCATCCTTTCTCATCCAGGGTTCAGTGGAAGCCTAGGGTTCCACCAGATGTTGTTAGGGGTACCTTGAGAATTAAGCAATTTTTGCCTCTCGGATAAGAAACCACTGACACAAATGCCCCCCCTCCCCCTTTTTGTTTTCCTTTAGCTATCTGTAAGGGGGCAGTCTTCCTACTGACCACCAGTGTAATGGGGTCCTTCTCCCAACCATTACTGATGTAATGTAGTTATTCTCCTACTGACTGCCATTCTAGGGGGGCCCTTCTCCACTGACCACCAAAGTAAGGGAGCTCTTTACTGACCACCAATGTAATAGAACACTCTTCCATGGAATACCAATGTGAGAGAACATTACTTTTATTTCTGGCCATTGTTAGTTTCATTTCATTATTATTACTAGGGCTGCAACAACTAATCGATTATGAGAATAGTTGGCAACTATTCTCATTATCCATTAGTTGTGAGAGAGAGCTAGATCGAGATCTATTTTGTGATGTAACTAATCAATTAATTGGAAAAATAATCTGGCAACTAATCGATTATGAAAATAATTGTTTGCTGTAGCCCTAATTATTACTGAAATAATTTGTTATATAGAGCAGTTCTGGGTGTTAAATAGTTTAAGGTTTCCTCTGCATATAAAATGTTGAGAAAGTCTGGCATGAGTATGTTCCACTGTCAGGAGACCTGCTGTTGGAAAGGGCATGCAGTCAGCAGGATTGATATGCAGCAAGTATGAGAAAAAGGTGAAAACGGTATTTTAATGTGGCAGCTGATTAGTATACACAGTGCTTTAGCAAACTAATTGTCATTCCGTTTGGGTGCACTTGTATTATAAAATCGATAGCGATGTATAAAAGTGTTTCATAAGTGTATTGTCTTCTGCAGATCCTCCTGGACCAATCGATAATTCTAAAATTGCGGTTGCTAAATGTGGGCACATTACCCTGAAACAAGGTAAGCAGTGCTTTTATCAAAGGGACTCTCAGGAGGGTGATATCTAAGAGAAAGGGGATGATGATTGGCCACAAGAGAGGGAGGATGTATCTGATATGCACTTACATCTGAAGGACTCAAGGCTGCCTGGAATTCTCTACTTTAAATTTGTAGAAATGGGGAGATGGTAAATTACTAAGTACAGTCAGAACCTTTCCTCTTTTAAAGCAAGCCTGTCCTATTTGGAAAATTAAAAAAAGAGAAAAACTGCAAAAGCATTAAAGTGTATGTATACATTTCATTTATTGTCGCAGAGACACAACAGGAACTTAATAGAAATCTTCCACAGTGAAAGGAATTATCCTTCTAAGGGCTCTTGCACATCGGCCCAAGAAATGCACTTGAATAATCCCACACTCTCATTGCCCATTGCTTGGATATTCTCTTTGTTCCAGAGCGATGGTCTCCGACATCCGACACTTCCATTTGTGTCAGATTCCTGGTTACCCACTGCATGCTATAGTACTATCTGCCACCCCCTACATCACTACAGGCCACAGTACTGACGTTGCAGCCAGTGAAATGAACCATAGTGTGTGGCAGGGGCCCAGGCATGTGACATACCTGGGAGTGCCAGACGTGAGGATTCTGCCAGAGGCTATAGCTCTTGGTGAGAGTGAGGGTCTGTGGAAAAGGCAGCGAAACAGCTGAGTGTTAGGTGTTCTCACACCTATGCATTGGGGTCATGTGCATCATACACATGTTAGTGCAATGTGGTGCCATTCAGTTTCAGTGGCACCCTAAAGCACTGGCGGAACCGCTCTCCCATTGCACCATGATGCACGGTAATGTACACAGTCGTTGTGTTGTAGTGAGCTGTGTTAAAAGTGATGCTGATCTGATTTTTGGTCTGCTTTGGTGCATCGGCAGTACATTTCAAATGAACAGGATGCCTTAATGCACATGCATTGTACGCACCGCTGTGGATAGCCTTGGTGTGGTTGATGCCTTTTGCAGGGTTTGTTTTGAGTCATTTTAATGTCAGTGAGAGAACATTCAACAGTTGATAACATCTATGCCTGTGTGTCTGCTGCAGGATTTTTTTCCCCCAGAAATAAAAAAAATAATAGTTTTGGATAGAATGAGGAACAACTAGATCTTCTTACTGGTAACATATTCCCATTTGTTTCCTGTGTGGTCACAAGGACAGGAAGTAAGAGCAGAGACAGCAACAGATGTCTGACAAGAGGGTCTAACCCTTCCTCTCTTCCCAATACCTAATAGTGCCCTTTCTAAATACAACTAAACTCCATTTCTAACCTCTCCCATCAGGAGCTGATTCTGGACAGATCTCGGAAGAAACCTGGATCTTCCTGCAGTCTATCTATGGCGGGGGACCTGAAATTACATTGAGGCAAAATGTCGCAATAAATGAATCAGAAGTGGGCCAATCAGAAGAGAAGATTGATGTGGAGACTCGGAATGTATAAATATTTATCGGCACTGCCATTATAAAGATGAAGTCACTCTTTTGTTTTTTTTAAAACCATTCCTTTTGTTAGAATCATGACCTTAGAGGGCATTTTTGTTGGCTATTATTTTAAGTGTCCTATTTATGTTTTTTTTAGGGTAAAAAGGGGGTATGATGATGATTTTAATTCGTATGATCGATGTAAATGTAATGAGCTATTTTCGTTTAATCCTGCCACTGTATATAACATGTAAATTGGAAGCTGTGTGTTGGGCTGCAGGGGACACATTCCCCGTACAGCGCTGCGTATGATCCAACTGCCATATATTGTGCGTTTGGCTACCAATTGTTTCCTGTATCCATCCTGCAGCTCCTTTTCACTGGGGATGATACATAAACACTGGAAGGAAAGTAGAAGTTTTGCCCACAGCTCTATTCTTGTTACCCGTGTCCAGTATGTCCCTATGAGGTATCCATTCGAGGGTGCAGCATACAGTATTTCTGCAGAGTATATTAATTTCTTTATCATCCATTGAGGGACACAGGAATTCAGCCATTGTGCCCCAAATGATTTGAATTGATCTTCTTTAACTATTATCCATCGATGCGTTTTATCGAGCCCCTCAGTTACATACTGTACTGTGCAAAGGTTTTAGGCAGGGGGGAAATAATGCTGTAAAGTAAGAATGTTTTCAGAAATAAAAGCGTTAATAATTTATTTTTATCAAATCACAAAATAGAAAATAAATGAACAGAAGAGAAATCCAAATCAGATCAATATTTGGTGTGACCTCCCTTTGCCTTCTTCTAGGTAGACTTGCACACAGTTTTTGAAGGAATTCGGTAGGTAGGTTGTTCCAAACATCTTGGAGAACTAAGCACAGATCTTCTGTGGATGTCGGCTGCCTCAGATCCTTCTGTCTCTTCATGTCATCCCAGACAGACTCCATGATATTGAGATCAGGGCTCTGTGGGGGCCAAACCATCACTTGCAGGACTCCATGTTCTTCTTTACTTTGAAGATAGTTTTTAATGATATTGGCTGTATGTTTAGGGTTGTTGTCCTGCTGCAGAATAAATTTGGGGCCAATCACACTCCTCCCTGATGGTATGGCATGAAGGAGAAGTATCTGCTTGTATTTCTCAGCATTGAGGACACCATTGATACTGACCAAATCTCCAACTCCATTGGCAGAAATGCAGCTCCAGACTTGCAAGGAACCTCCACCATGCTTCACTGTTGCTGCAGACACTCATTATTGTACCGCTCTCCAGCCCTTTGGCAAACAAACTGCCTCCTGCTACAGCCAAATATTTCACATTTTGACCTATCAGTCCAGAGCACCTGTCTCAACTATGCACAAAAACATAGGAACTGGGGTGCAGAAAAATGGCAGCAGGCTAAATGATAACAATAAACTAATAACACTTTTATTTCTGGAAGTATTTTTACTCTACACCATTTTCTCACATCTGCCTAAAACATTTGCACAGTACTGTATATTCCAGTTTTTTTATGGCTGTCTGCGTTCCCACTGGGGAGAATCTGCCTGCCTTCCTGTCCTGGATACAGCAGTCAACATGAAAGGAAGTAGGGCAAAATCTCTTCAACAGCAAAAATGCCCGGCCAAGGTATTTATTCCGCATTCCAATACCAAAATAATATTTTGGCTTCAGTTCCACCAAAACGTAGTCCTCACCCCAACCCCTAACTCTGCCTCTCATCCTTTATTGTCATACTAATCTGTAATGATACATTTATAGTGGTCATACTTGTACTGCTGATGCACCATTTTTTTTTCTCTCTCCAAAACAAACATATTCTGTAAAATGTTGGCAGTGACCTTGGTGTTGAGAAACCCGTGCAGAAATATCTGTATCTGTGATGAATACAGCTGCATCCAGTAGTGCATTCGCTGTAGAAGCATTTTGTGAGCCGGAGACAAGAGAAGTTTGGCTTTCAGATGCTTTCCTAGAATGCCATGTTGATGCTGGGGTGGGGGGTTATGATGGGGTGACCTCTCCATAGGGTCTTTGGCAAGCAAATACCCAACAAGGGGAATGAGACCCTCAGCACTCAATGTTAGGTGTAGTTCTGTAATATTCCTGAGTACCTTACAGAATGCACTGATTGGCAGACACTGACCAGGTTGCCTCTGTTATTTTTGGCATTGCCTCTACTTTCTTTATCTCTTGCTGCATCCGGGCTTCAGCCAATCAGCTTCTTGATATCCAAGCTTGGCAAAGTTAGCCTTGAGAATGTAGCGAAGCCTAATTTTACAATCCCCGACTAATACTTCCAATGGGATCCTCCTAATGAAATGGCATTTTTAAATTGAACATAATGAAGGCACATCTCTAATCTCCTTTGCCACTTTTAGAATAGTATTTTTATATATCGCTGCGGCTTTGCCCAGGAGGGATAACTTTATTAATATATGACTCAGGTGGGAGAATGGTAGGAGGAGCCAATGAAGGAAACGCCAGTTCCTGGTGTCTTTTTTTTTTTTGGTAATGTTTCTTGAACGTCTGATTTATGGTAATGCAATGATGCTTGAGCCTATTGTCTGCTGAGACTTGTTTTGTGCATGACATGCCCTAGTGTAAAAGTAGAAAGAACATTTATTTTGATAATAATGGTAGAAGATGCTCGTCGTGTTCGATCGGAACTCTCTGAAATGTGAATGTTTCTAATATATTTATATAGTTACATTTTTTTTTTTTACTGGTGACTAAGATAGATGGATTTTTTAAATTTCTGGTAACCCAGATGGGCAGGAAATGTTGCAGAGCACAGGTTTTTTGTAGCCCCGCTACAGAGTTCAATTCAGGTTTTAACGGATGGGGTCCAGTGTTTTGCTAGATATTGAATGCTGTGTTGTGCCCCAGCAGCCAACCCTACCAACCCTCACCATGACTTTGAACAGCTGAGCTTGGCTTTTCAGGGTACCCCAGCCCTCGCTCTCCCACCTTAGATCGTGTCCCCAGCATTATTGCACCTTCACATGGTGCTGGAGACAGCTTTTTATTACCTCCTGTGACATCTTTACCAGGCTTGTAAAATTCTTGCAGGAGCAGCTGCTGGGAAATCAGTTCCTTTTGAAGTAGGCTTACCGCCAGAACTACATCTTCTAAGAGCTCCTGGGAAAATAAACCACTATATGCATGTGAACAGGGACAGGGCGAGATGGGGATAGGTGAAGTTTTATAGTCCATCAGGCAAATCTGCTTCAGGACTGCTGTACATATACATACATACATACATCCTGGCCCTGAAGTAGTTATACCAAGGTGCTGCTTCAGCCATGATCTTGGTACTGTATTTTTTCAGTACCAAAGCAGCAGGTAATTACTGTTATCTCTGTACAGCGACCCAGATCACTTGTAGCAGCCTGCACAGGTGGTGCCCCCCACCAATAGACGTTCCCCAATCTGCTCTGTGAGCAGTAAGCGCTTTCTGAGTGACAGCTGTCAAAAGCCGTCTGAGATACAGTTTACACAGGGGATCGGGTGCTATGCTGTGCTTGACCCCCTATATTGGAGGTCAGGAGAGACATCTGGGGTCCAAAAGACCCAAGATGACTCCATAAAAAGCACCCGTCACCTCCAAATGCTGTCACATAGGGGCATGTTATGATGTGCTTGTTATGTTGCTGTGTGATAGCAACAAAGTTAAGTGGAAAAAAAACAAGTTTTCAGCCAAAACAGGAAGTTGCAAGCATACTGGATTTCTTTGAGATCAACAGATATTTTTTCATACTTGCAGGGTTTTTGAAGGGGAAATTTGCATGTATTGCAGAGGTGAACTCATTATTATTTTTTCTTTGCCCTGATGGAAAGAAAGGTGTTTTTCCTCTATTTCTATGGAGAATCCAAGAGAGCACATGTGTCACATTTAAGGCCCAGGGGCCGAATCCGGCCCATCAGGCCATTTCCTAGACTTTTACTTTCAGATCTAGGTATTAAGTTATTACTAAAACCAGTGATAATCGAATGCAGAGGCAATTATGATAGATTAGATACATTTATATAATCTTACAGATGCAACCGGCCCTTTGAGGGCAACCGTAATGCTGATGCGGCCACGATTAAATTGAGTTTGACACCCCTGCAATAGAGGTTGCCGGACACAGAAGTGCCATATCTTGAGCCCTGCAATGGTGCCTCCATAGGAACACAAGAAGAACAAAATAGTAGCCCAGCTGAAATGGCCAGCTCAGCTAGTCGCAGCCAAACCAGGAGACGGAAGGGATTTGAATGCTCGGCACTTAAACGGCAATAAACAAAATCTGGCAGAAGACCAGACCCTGCCATACTCCATCCAGATGGAGGAGACCAGGCTCATGTGTAGTTTCTTTAAATCTCCCCCCAAAATGATTCAATTAATTTGGAGAGGAGGGTAAACTGGTCCACACAGTTATACTTATGTAATGAGCTTAACTTTGTAGGTTGGGCAAGGTGCACACGCAAAAGAAGCATGGCTTCTACACAGCTCAGGAAAGGAATGAGCCGGGGAGCAAGTCCTCGCTCCAATACGAGTCTATACCAACAGAAGACAAGCTGGCAGCACACTGGATTCTGCTTTTCTTCTGTTGTGTGGGACACCAGTGATGTGGTACAAGTTTGAATAAACTATCCCAGCAGAATCCATGTCATTGCCCAAGAAGATTAGCCAATTAAGTCTGTGGACATTATATGGTGAAAGCAAACTGGAATGTATCGGGAGTCCTTCTCACCCTCTTCCCAAAGCCGGATGAATCATTTTGGGTGGACTTTTCCTTTGATGGGGCCGGTTTGATAGACAGCACAGTTCGAAATTTACCTGCAAGCACAACTGATCATTCTTTTAATGGAAACCATTTGTATAAAGTTCAGCGACTGTAGATGTTGTAGAGGTTCTGTGGTTTCCCCCAGACCTGTATTGCAGTAATTGCCATTTTTTGGGTGGTCAGATCCTTTATTTTCGTCATTTAATTCTCTCAGTAAACCTGATGTAACATAATCTGTTCTCCAAAATGCTAACAGCTGGACGGAGTATGTAAATCTCGCCACTTTTACTGAATGTTTTCTATGATTTCCTTATGCTGGATGTTTAGTCCACACCCTGATAACTGTGCATCATTTTGGAATGGTCTGTGATTATGGCAAGAGTTTTTTATTTACCTGTTTCTCTTCCTTACAGTAGCAGCTTTGGTTGTGCTTTAAAGCTGAACTCCCAGAATATATATAAAACACTACCAGAAAAAAAAAAGTTAACATTTTTTGAACTGTAGGAAGTAGAAGTATCCCGATCTGTCTTTATATTGGCTTCCTGTTATCCCCTGCGCAGCAGGTCTCAGACTCGGGGAGGAAGAGAGGGCATGCAGTGTTCAGATTTCAGTGCTGGTGCAGACATGGGCGTCCCGGGACCGCGCCATCGTGTGCACTTGCAC